CCGCCCCCAGACACACAGCAGGACCACGTCTTACTGACCAGGCAGCAGCCCCTCACCTGTGCCCCCCATCTTGTAAATACCACTGATGCTGGGGGGAGTGGGGACTCTAATGATCCTTAAACCAGAAGTTGTTTCTCAGTTATATTTTGCTGATAGAGAAACAAGAAATAATGAATTGCAACTCTTAATGGAAAAAAATTAAAAATATAGAAATAAAAAGAGGAAGGAAGACACATTGTTGCAGAAATATCCCATTTTACCAGTGTTTCTTCTGGAGCAACTTTAAAGACTGAAGGATCAGCACGATGGCAACCCCAGCTGCTGTTCTCCCTGAGCCCCTCCAGTCCCTGAGCCCCCCCAGCAGCACCGCGCTCCTGCCCCACGCTGTTCACACAGAAAAGCCCCAGCCAATGCCCCTCCAACCTGCCTTTCCCACCACCCTTAAGACAGGCCCTCAGCCTGGTCTGCTGTTGAAACGCATCCTTTCCCTGAAAGCAACAAATGGAAAATGGGACAGACCCCGGTGATCAGCCCTCACCACCTCCTGGGAACGGACAAAGAAACTGCATCATCTAAAAATCACTCTAAATGCCAGACAGACTATCAATGTGTAACACAGCCAACTACCACGCTCACCTATTAACACAATCACAGCTGAATTAAAAAAAGTTACCAGTCAAATAACCTGTGAGCAGGGAAAATCTGAGGCCCTCAGAGCATTCACAGGATTTCAAAAAGCTGGTAACTACAGGCACAGAGCTTTAGAAGGAAAAAACAAAATATATGAACTTGCCTGTCTGCTGCAGCCTGTGTCCCTCTCCAGCACACACGTACTAACGCTCACTTCTTTCCAGGCCTTTCTACTTAAGGAACAGATCCTCTTCAGCTAATTACCAGCCGGTTTAATTACTCTAATCAATTCCACCTTTGGGTGTCTGACTGCCACAGCTGCTGCTGCTCAAGCTCCTGCACCCCTCCATCTCTCCTTGCTTTTCTCTGCTCTGCAGACCTGCCCCTGAGCTGCCCAGGACCTTCTGTGTTGATCTGCTGCAGTTTGTCACCCCCGTGCTGGGTGACAGCTCTTGCGAGGGAGCAGCAGGTCCCACACAGCTCTGCCAAAGCCTCGGCAGGGTTTGGGCACAGAGGCTTTGCCACAAAGAGCCCTGCAGCCGGACGGACTGCCTGCCAAAGCCCAAATACCTACAACCAGCTCCCTCCTGGCCTCTCGCTGGTGGATCCACGTCTTCCCGAGCGTTTATTTTCATGAGAGATCTTGCTTCTGTACCACGGGGAGGGTGTGGGGGCACCTGCCCTGTCCTCTGAGCACAAGGGGGCTGTCTCTGGGGGTCCCGCAGGGCTCGGCGCCCCCCCCCGCGCAGCCCCCGCCGCTCCCAGGGACACAGGCGCGGGAGCTGCTCGGCTGCTTCCTACAACACTGCGGTGGGGCTTCTTTTTTTCCAGCCACACCTTTCAAAAATAAGGTTAAAATCGATTATTTTATCCCTTCTAGCGTGGAAGCGTGCAAAGAATGAAGCCTGGCACGGCGAGGAAGTGGGATTTTCAATCCAGGCTCTTTCCTCCCCGTTTGGGGGGCGGGTTGGATTCCCCCGGAGGGGGGGGCGCCGGTTCCCCGACAGCCCCGAGCCACCGGGGTGTCCCCCCCGGGGCAGAGGGCTGGATTCCCGCCTGAGCCGTTGGTTGTACCTCGGCTCCGGGAGCGATGACGGTGACAGGCGGGGGCCGGGCCCCGCGTCCCGTCCCGCCCCGTCCCGTCCCGCCGCCGCCGGGGCAGCGGGAGCCGCGCCATGAACTGCAGCGACGCGGGGCCGGGGCGGCTGCGGGCGCTGCTCGGGGCGCTGCTGCGGGACCTCCGCGCCGGCGGCAACGGCAGCGCGGCCGGGGCCGGCCCCGGGGCGGGGGGCGACGGTTCGCTCTACATCCTGCTCATCATGATCTTCTACGGGTGCCTGGCCGGGGGGCTCATCCTGGCCTACACCCGCTCTCGCAAGCTGGAGTCCAAGCACGACCCCTACCACCTCTACATCGAGCGGGACTGGGGCCGCGGCGCCCCGGGGCAGGCGGCCGAGGAGGGCGGCCCCGCCGACGGACAGCGGCTGCTGTGAGGCTGCGGGCCCGGCCCGGCCCGGAGGACGGACCGACGGAGGAGGGAGAGGCCGGGGGGGGCCCCCCGGAGCGCCGCGGACAACGGGGGGCTGCGGCGGGAGCGGTGCCTGCCAAAGCCCAAATACCTACAACCAGCTCCCTCCTGGCCTCTCGCTGGTGGATCCACGTCTTCCCGAGCGTTTATTTTCATGAGAGATCTTGCTTCTGTACCACGGGGAGGGTGTGGGGGCACCTGCCCTGTCCTCTGAGCACAAGGGGGCTGTCTCTGGGGGTCCCGCAGGGCTCGGCGCCCCCCCCCGCGCAGGACCCGCCGCTCCCAGGGACACAGGCGCGGGAGCTGCTCGGCTGCTTCCTACAACACTGCGGTGGGGCTTCTTTTTTTCCAGCCACACCTTTCAAAAATAAGGTTAAAATCGATTATTTTATCCCTTCTAGCGTGGAAGCGTGCAAAGAATGAAGCCTGGCACGGCGAGGAAGTGGGATTTTCAATCCAGGCTCTTTCCTCCCCGTTTGGGGGGCGGGTTGGATTCCCCCGGAGGGGGGGGCGCCGGTCCCCCGCCAGCCCCGAGCCACCGGGGTGTCCCCCCCGGGGCAGAGGGCTGGATTCCCGCCTGAGCCGTTGGTTGTACCTCGGCTCCGGGAGCGATGACGGTGACAGGCGGGGGCCGGGCCCCGCGTCCCGTCCCGCCCCGTCCCGTCCCGCCGCCGCCGGGGCAGCGGGAGCCGCGCCATGAACTGCAGTGAAGGCTCGTCCCGCAGCGAGGGCTGTCCCGGGCTCCCCGCAGGGATCGCTTCTCCGCAATAAACTCCTGCCTTGCGTACGTACAGAGACCCCTCTCATCAATCGCCTTCAGATCTCAGCTTAACATCCCCTTCTCTAAAATCTGTCTCTATTCCACCTCGTTATCTCATCACAGGGCTATCGCTGCGGGCAGCAGTCCGCGTAATTAAAGGCCACTCAATTATTGCTGTATTATGCACCCTTCTATCACTAGAGCATTGATATTTATGCCAGGTACAATGGATAAGAAGGGCCAAGTCTCGTTCCATTAAAGCAAGATGATTGTTTTGGCTTATGTGGAAGCATTTATCAAAAGAAAAGGAGCTTAAGCCGAAATTGCTCCCCTGAGGGCAGCCTCGGTGCCCCATCTTGGTACTGTGCCTTTGCCCATCCTCAATAGCTTTTAAAGCCATCAGTCAGTCCTTCCACACACACAGATGTGTAATTCCAAGAATACTTTTGTACAAGTTAAACCTTAAGATTAAAACAACACACAACATAGGCTTTTTACAAAAAAAAAAAAAAAAAAAAGGTTGTTTCAGATGTTGTAGCCATGTTAATATCCTACCCTTTCTTGGTTTGGTTTGGGGTGGGGGTTTTTTCAGATTAACAAACTATTCCAAGGAACAAGTCCTTTTCCTGGGAATGCTGCACTACACAATAAAAATTATTGCTTGGATTTTACCCAAACCACACTGCAGGAGAAAGAAGCTCTGACTTAACTTCAGAGGAGGTACTTTTATGTTATTAGACTTAGACTTCCTATATAATGCTTATGCATATTCTTTCCAACAGAAAAACCAGAAAAACAGTGGTCATGCTTATGCATATTCTTTCCAACAGAAAAATGGTCTTTTTATATTTGGCAACTGCTGCATCTTGCTCTCTCTACTATAACTTTGTGGGGAATCATTGTAAACTGGATACCTGAGGTGATTAGTTTTAAAAAAAAAAAAAATTATCCTTGAGAGGACTGGCAGTTATCAAGTCAACTTTGTCACTGCAGAAAACTCCTGCAATATCCACAGACTAACTTGCAGAGTATCACTAGATATCCAACTGTATCTTGTGAGTACCCAGACATCTTAATCACTGAAAAGTATGGGGTGAGGAAAAAATTCCAGCTCCAGAAACAATGTCAATGGGAATATATGCAACAGTACTATGTGCGAGCATTGTATCAGTAGATGTATGCGAAATCTTTAGCTCAGCAAGGAAAATGTAGCCAGTGTTGTGTGAGAAAGAGGATGTCAGAGAAACCAACAAACTCCCAGTGTTCTCAAAATCCCCCACCAGGTAGTTAAACAACAGTAAAAGTTCCAGTCAGCTACCTCTATTGCAGGGATTCAGACAGCATCTCTGGAAAATACACGTACTAACGTCAACCTGGACTTTTTGAAGCCCCATAAGCAATATATATACACACACATTGAAGCCCCATAAGCAATATATATACACACATATACACACACACACATATATTTTAAGCTGCAGAAGCCAACCGTCTAGTAAACTTTCACATCAGGACAATTAAAACACTGCATTGGCTCCACTACAAAAGATTTTCTGTGAGGATTTCCTTCAGTACAATCAGAATTAAGCTGACCACAACCAAAGTTTCCCCCTGTAAGAAAGGGAATTATTACACATATCCAAGCCCCAGTGATTAACTTCTCTTCTGCTGGCAGCTCCCTGCCCACCCGCAGGCCTCTGGCTCCAAGAGGCATCACAGAGCACCAGCTTAGAAAGTCTGGGGAACTGCAGAGCAAACTGCTGCTGCTGCACGCGGGGGAGAACAGGGGAAGGACCGTGACAGTTTCCTGAGATTTGCACACTAAAAAGAGTGCTCAACACATCTTATTTCATATCAGCCTGTTCCCAGCTGCCTTCTACTGCCTCATCCTACTGACAAATCTGAGAGACAGTTGTGGCAGCCCCTCTGTGTCAGTGTCCAACAAACACCACTGGTGACACAGCTTCACAATCCAACTGTTTCCCTTCCCACACACACCCCAACACAAAGAATGTACAACACTCTGTGTCCGGGTCCTACCTCAGAAAAAGGACTGCCCTTGTGAGAAAGCCTACCCTTCGTTACACAGTTCACAAAGAAGGAAAGCACAAGACCTCCTGCCAAGTAACTAACAAAACATCTAATCCTAATTATCTGCTGTTCCATCTGTACCTTTCAATACCTGAAAGAAAACTGGTGACACAGCTTCACAATCCAACTGTTTCCCTTCCCACACACACCCCAACACAAAGAATGTACAACACTCTGTGTCCGGGTCCTACCTCAGAAAAAGGACTGCCCTTGTGAGAAAGCCTACCCTTCGTTACACAGTTCACAAAGAAGGAAAGCACAAGACCTCCTGCCAAGTAACTAACAAAACATCTAATCCTAATTATCTGCTGTTCCATCTGTACCTTTCAATACCTGAAAGAAACACAAGATCTCAGTGAACTGCAGTGATTTACACCAGCCCATCTATTCTTACAGGTACAGTTCAGCCAGATGTTTAAATAAGATAAAACCATCACACATTAACTGTAGCTTGCACTGGAACAAGGTACACCCCACATACAGAGATACGCTTAAATACACTGTGCATTTACAAATACTCCAGTGGACACCTGCCACTACAGTTCAGCCAGATGTTTAAATAAGATAACACCATTAACTGTAGCTTGCACTGGAACAAGATACACCCCACATATAGAGATACGCTTAAATACAGTGTGCATTTACAAATACTCCAATGGACACCTGCGAGGTACCTTTCAATACCTGAAAGAAACACAAGATCTCAGTGAACTGCAGTGATTTGTGATTTACACCAGCCCATCTATTCTTACAGGTACAGTTCAGCCAGATGTTTAAATAAGATAAAACCATCACACATTAACTGTAGCTTGCACTGGAACAAGGTACACCCCACATACAGAGATACGCTTAAATACACTGTGCATTTACAAATACTCCAGTGGACACCTGCCACTGGCTACATCCATGTGGTTATTCACGTCACACGTTCCTAACATTCATGGTGTCTCTAGCAGGTAACGTTTCAGAAATTGGTACAGGGAGGCTGCCCGGCTGTGTGGGATGGGGTCAAGGCCAAGGCACAGCTGGAGCTGAACTTGGGAAGGGACACAAAGAATAATAATAAGGGCTTCTACAGATACAGCAGCCAGAAAAGGGAGGCCAAAGAAAGCTGCCCCCTGTGCCAATGAGCAAGACCGGCAAATTGGTAAGAATGGATGAGGAGAAGGCTGAGGTACTCAATTTTTTTGCCACACTTGACACACAAAGAATAATAATAAGGGCTTCTACAGATACAGCAGCCAGAAAAGGGAGGCCAAAGAAAGCTGCCCCCTGTGCCAATGAGCAAGACCGGCAAATTGGTAAGAATGGATGAGGAGAAGGCTGAGGTACTCAATTTTTTTGCCACACTTGACATTTGAAAAGTCATGGCAGTCGGGTGAAGTCCTCAGTGACTGGAAAAAGGGAAACATTGTACCCATTTTACAAAGGGTAAAAAGGAGGACTCGGGGAACTACCAACCTGTCAGCCTCACCTCTGTGCTTGGGAAGATCATGGAAGAGAACCTCCTAGAAGCTATGCTAGGGCACGTGGAGGACAGAGGGGTGACTGCAGACGGCCAGCATGGCTTCACCAAGGGCAAGTCCTGCCTGACCAACCTTCTCTGATGGAGTGACTGCACCAGTGGACCAGGGAAGAGCTACGGGTGTCATCTACCTGGACTTCTGCAAGGCCTTTGACACAGTCCCCCACAACCTGTAACTGTAAAGATACAAAAATACACTTCAGTGCACTGTTCTTTGTACAGTTTATCTTTTTTCCCATAAACACACTTTACTGCTTTCTGTTGCAGTCCATATACTGTTTCAAATTCTGTTAAATCACACATTAAAGAGGGAAGCATACCATGGGGTAGTTATAGAAGAGATGGGATTCTAACTGACAACAAAACTGCCTACTTGAATTAAACCCTCTGTTTCTTGAAGCCTCTCCAAGGGAAGAACACCCACACAGCTCAGCTGGGAACAGGAACGCTATGAAACCAGGTTAGGCTGCCCTACCAGGCAGCACTGCCCCAGGACAAGGAAAACCAGCAAAATTAAGACTTTCAGAGTAGCAAAACTTCAGTCCCTTAGGAATTCATGACTCTTAAATCAATTCAGCTACACATAAAATATCCCTATGGACTGTTCCATCCAGATGAGCCTAAGGATTCAACATGAATGTGCTGGGTTCTGACCAAAAAAAAAAAAAAAACAAAACAAAAAAAAGTGCTTTAAGCACTCTGAACCCAGGAATATGCTGTAGCTGACATTCTCTGGTGGCATGAATACACACACCAAAGTACCTGAACACCTAAGAGGAATTCATATTATAGCACAGACCTCAATAAATGAGCATTAAGCGCAGCAGCAACACTCACTTATTTTTGTTTGTTTCAATAAACCCGATACGTTGTATACTGGTTAGAAACCTTACGAACCCACTGGGACTGAACTGAATCAGACTGTAAGATGACAAAAATTAGCCACTGAAATTCAACACTTTTTTCCATCAACAGTATATTCTAAGGCACCTGTATTACTGATGCAGGGCAAGGTGGTCATTTAGTCTTCACAGTCCATGCAATCACTGGACATGAAAGGTAACAAGATAGCTTTATTTGTATTACTAAATTCAGCCTTCTGAAGGAATAAGCTGAGCTACATTGACCTACTGCTTCTGTTAAGATCAGAAAAGAAAAACTTCTTTAGAAAGACTTAGCTATTCTTTTCATCAGGTCAGAGGGAACATTGAAAGAGCAATTTCTGGAATTCACTTTCAACCTACAGGCAAAAATATCTTCTGGTTTGACCCTGTGATTTATTTTTCCCGGTGCTCCTAAACCTTTACACTGCATCAGCTGTCAGAGCCTCGCTCAGGATAATTACGAAGAGTGACTGCAAAGCCTCACTGAAATCTACACCTTCTAACACAGCAAGAACTTCACAATGTATTTGGCATTGTTTCTAGAACATGCTTCTGGAACAATGTCTATTTCCACACAAACACTGACCTTGCATTAGCATCCTCATCTTTTCATTGCCAGCAGCTAAAAGCTGCTATCTACACAGCGTGTTTGTTAGTAATCTGATGTTTTAAACAAAACAGAGTGAGTGAATCAGCAGTTACCACATCAACCACTTCTCACTGAGTGTTTCATTTCCTCTTAACAGAGAAACAGCAGAGGCGCAGTATGTTCTCAGTTAAAATATTTACAATCCAAGGATCTGACACAAGTTTTGTTTGACTTCATCCAGGTATTTGTTGGACAGCAGTTTACACTTCAGACAGTTTTAGAGGGAAAGCTCAAACTGAGATGGTTACTCTAGCCAGCTCAGCACGGTTATTGCTCGATGGTGCTTCTGGGGAGGCATTTGCCATAGGTCATTATTCCAGACACATTTTTTTTACTGCAGCACTAACAAAGAGCTCACAGCCAGCCTGCTCTGCAATGCCCCAGCACCATCCTGCACAATCAGAACACGTAACTCCTACCCAGAACACAAACAGTAATGATAAGGAAGAGACCAATTATTTCTTGCACTGTTAATATCGTAAAAAAACCCTATGAGAACTTCCAATAATAAAAAAAGCACAGAACGTCAGGTAGGTTTTTGAGGTTTTTTTAAATTAATCATACAAGAGGTCTTAAACAATTTCAAAAACTTACAAAATATATTCAATTGTGGAAACTTTACTGATAAAACAGCATTTCTTTACAATGCGCTTTTCTCCAATCGGGATAAGGAAGCGTATGCGTATCAAAACCAGCAGAACAAATCACTTTTCTCCACACCAAGAAACAGCACAAGTACTGCAAGTCAGTTTAACTGTAGTATGCCAAAGGAACAAAGCAACATAAAAACAGAGACCGATAAAGACAATATAGGGAAGATACACAAAAGAGAAGATCTACCATGTCTGCAGTAGCCACAATTCAACACGTGGAAGTCCTCAGCTCTTCAGGCGGCTTTGTTTGACTGTTGTACATGAGTGACTTGGTAAAAAACAGCATAAAATGGTAGCATTAACTCCTGTTTACGGTTTAGAGCCTAAATATATTCACCTTATACATGCCCATTGCAAATTTTGGGTATTACAGCAGTCAGCAACAGAGAAGGCTAAACCAGCCAGATGGTTTTGTACTGAGGAGAATAAAAAGTATTTGTATGTTCTGTTCTGCTAACTTCAGCACAGAAGTTTTACCAAGCAGCACAGAGCTGCAGCATCCCATACCTCTCCAGCTAGCGTCCAAGAGATTTTTTTGTTTGTGCCATTAATTACTCAGTTGTAAAATCGTTTACTTACTCTAACAGCTACATCATCACTTAGTATGATCCACAAAAATAGTTTGTAAAACACCATTTTTAATTATAAAAAGCAACAGCTAATCAGGGTAGTACTGAATCGCCCTAAGTGATCTGCACTGAGGATGATGGAAACAGGCAGTATGTAACTGGTGCTTCTCCCTAGGCTGAAGCAATTATGCTCTAATAAATTTCTCTCCAAAAACCCCTGTATGCACACCAAGTCCGATTCCAACAACACACCTTACTAAAGTAAGAGTTTGAACTGGGTTTGACCAGCTAGGCCAGTTAGTAAGCTTCCTAAGTAATGCTCCAGGTGGTGGTGGCTTTTTTGCTGTTGTTTGGTTGAGGTTTTTTTAACATTAATTGCAGAAGTCAGACTTAAAAGCAGCCTGCTTTTGAATAGCATGAAAATCAGTGAGAAAAGTAACATCTGATTGAAGCATTGTCTCAATGCTTCAACTGAGACAATTCAATCAAATGTTCTCTCTATATTTTAAATCTCCCAATCTGCCTAGAAAAAGCTTAAAAACTACTATACAAATTAAAACTTGAATAAAAAAAAGAAAGTATTTATTCCCAGGACAAGCTTATCAGGTACAGATATAAGTGTGTGTTCTGCCTTCAAAGTTCAACAAGCAGATGCTACAAATGCACCCATCACCACATTTCAAAATGAGAACCTGTTCAGCATATGCAAAGCAGACCTGTAACACTACTTACATCAGCAATGGCCAATTACAAAACCAGAAAAGCTCACCACGTGGGTGTCAGAGTTCAACAATGCTGTATCAGTAACAGGCAAACTTAGGGTTAAGTTTTCTTTTCAAACTTGTAAAGAAATACAAATATATGAACCTCGCATATTCTGTTAAGAATAAACAGTAATTAAATAGAGCAATCCCTTCTGCACTACATACAGAAATAACACTGTATTTACAGTTTTTACAGTTTTCAAATATTCTGGATTTCTTGCATTGTTTTGCAGGAATTTATATTCTTCAGGCTGTAAAAAAGTTACACCATAGTTCAGACCATAAACGCTTCTGAACAGAGACAGGTTACCAATTCTAACTCACTGATGTAAAGACTACAGTGCCTTAAAAGGAAATAAACCAACCCACTTCACCTAAACATCCCATTACTTGTGGGGTTATACTGCAAACTATAGACATTTTAAGATGTTTTACACATATTAGATATTGCTTATTTTCACAGTTTTCACAATTTAAATCATAAAAACAAGTGAGCTGCAGCTGTAACTGCTTTATTCAGGGTGCTCCTGCCATCACAACATGTATTAAGATCAGTTACAAGTTTCTCCCATGTATTTTCAGTTACAAGCAAGTCTAGTCTCACATATATAGGTAAATTTTCTTTTTTTTTTTTTAACTCAGCTTAAAATAGAAATGTACCAGTTTGAAAGAGATCTGCTGATACGCAGATTTACTCTTAAGTTCCCACGTTAAGATGGGCCGTCTGAACCTGCAGTCTTGAAAACTATATTAAAGCAGCTAAAAGCTTTAAACTGCAAATTTAAAGCAAGACACACAAAAATCCCCAGAATCAATCATTAAAGGTAATATTTTAAAAGAACATGAAAACTACAGTAAAAACCTGCATGAGAGGAAGATGGTATTTGCGTTCAGAGCTGTTTTTCTAAGTTCAAAATAATCAAAGCACCTGTTCTGGATAACAGTATTGAAGAGAAAAATTGAAGGTTTCACAGTAATACACACTTTCAGTGCCACTTTTTTACTACAATGTTTCCTGAAAAGACAGTAGGGATTCAAAACTTGCAGACTGAATATGGGAAAAATAGTCTGAACTTCATAGCAACAGAATGAACAGTTAAAGCAAACAGAAATTATGTGACTGACCTATTTCTTACACTGCAAGACTTCAAAAGAAAAATAATCAGTTTGAAGTCCTTCACATGCATGTGACGAGTTGTTGGCACAGGAGCTCTGAATCACTCACCGTGCCCTACGTACAAATCAATGTAAATTAACTACAACCAAAGTCTGAGAAGCTCAAAGCCAAAAGGAAACGCGGTGCCGTTATCCAGTCACTTTGTATCAGAGAAGGTTAACATTAGCTTTCCAATAGATTATTTGAGAGATTACACACACAGGAGCTGGTTTTGCTACTTTCACCAACAGTAGAAATCACTTGTCAATTCTTTCCAGCCTCTTACAACCAAGAGTAGGCAGCTTTGAGAATTCTAGCTACATGCCACAAGCATCTTTGTCAAAAGAGGGAAGATGCTACTGTAAAAACAGTTCTTTCAAAGTTGAAAAAATAACGTTTGGTCAGAATTTTACATGAAGAGGATTTTGTGTTCAAATAGCAGAGTTTCAGCATTCAGGATTACACATACAAGAAGTGTGGAAGTGGCAGCACATACGCTGCCGAAACGTAAGGCATTTTAGGAATGATTCCAACGCAGCTCACTGCCTTCAGCATTTTATTAGGTTCAACTAACATGAGCAACCTCTCACATTTTAAGACTCTTTACTACTAAACCCACGGTCCTCGAGACCAACCCTGAAACATCTGCAGACCTTCCATAATGATAGATGCAACACGAAGAGCGAGCGTTTTCCCTGCGTGGAGAAGAGCTGTCCGTCCAGCTCACACCTACACCCGTCACCAGTCCTCACTAACTGGCCCAGTCCTGGAAGCGGAAACAGTCACTGGCGATCTTCCACACGGTGTTGGTCGGCGTGGCCTGTGCTGTCAGCAGGAAGTTCTGGTTGAAGTAGCGCTGCTTGTCGCCATCAAACTTTACTGTCCCGCTCGTCACCACGAGGACTGTTGTCTGGCCTTGAGTAGCTTGCTCTTCACAAGGAGAAAAAGTATAAAGAAAACATCTCAAAGACCAAGAGGTAAATTAGTAGGAAACATACACAGAAATCCCATTTGACTCTGGTTATACCAGTTATAGGCTAACCATTGGTTACACATTCCTGGGAAGCAGTTTTGTTGCATCATTTCTATACAGACAATGGTGGATTCGCTCGCCATGGCTTTTCTATTTTCATTTCATGTCCATTTTAGAGCCCCGTATCAAACATCTCAGTTTTTGCTAAGAACAAGCTCTCGCTATTTGAGATGTACACATACATTTATATTTAGGAAGTTGCATACACTTTTCTCCCTGCTATTAGAGATTCTTTTTCACAGCAGAGCAAAGTAAACATGCTTGACCGCAGGCTTTTTCCTTCCTTATATTCCCAAAAACATCCATTAGAAGTAATTTATTAACTTCTCAATTATACAAGCTTTTCTAGCAGGTGTTAATCAGAAATTTAAATAACTTAACATCAGTTCTAGACATAAAGAAATCAAAATATACACAGGATAATGATTTGTTCCACACTATACTGCAGGTCAGTATCAGAGGCTACAGTAGAGGGCTCTTGACTCTTAGACATTGTTAAGGACAACATAACCTGACTTCTTCAATGCATGAAAATACATCACATCTGAATATGATCTTAACAAAAAAGTCCTTAAAGTGCTTTCCCGTACACAACAAAAAGTGCTGCATCTCTTGATTTGTGCTTTATTTATGCACAACTTGACATTTCAACCCTCAGTATTTTCTCCAAGCTTGTTCCAAAAGAAACATAATTGCAGTTCACTTTCAAGAGAAAAGACTGAAAAAAAATAAGTAAATTGTACTACAGCCTTACCGTGAACAGGCTGGCAGTCCAACACATTAACCTGGAATTCACTAGACGGCAACATTTCAAAAAATTTTATCAGTTCTTCTTGCCCGGACACTGCATTACCATTCCAAACTAACGTTGCTTTGTCCAAATAAAGTCTTGTTAAAGCCTGAGTGATTATAAAAATACGTATTTGGGGAAAACGTATAAACGCATACAATGGACAACACACAAAGCAATGTTCTTTGAATCCCTGTCTTGTGAATTATTGATTTCATCTGTTACTTTCACAGATAAAATGTCTTCCTGAAATATTAGCTCCTTTCAACAGTTAGTGCACCTGACCAAGTAATAAAACTAACTGAAATATATTCTCCTTTATAAGTTACATAGTGACTCATATGCCTCCAAATTTAAATACTGACAAGATTCCTTTAACAAAGCTGGAGACAGAACTGAACTAGTTGCTAGCAGAAGGATAGCACTACATTTCCAGAATAAGTTTATTGCTGATGTTTTTTTTGGGGGGGTGGTGGAAGTGAGGTGTGCATGCAACACTGATTATGTCAGGAAAGTATAATTTCAGGTTAAAAAAAAGAGAAATAAAAAAGTAGCCAACAAGACCAGGAACAGTGGAAGCTCAAAAAGAACAGCTGTCTGCAGCAGCAGACCAGAACTTCCCCAATGTTTCATTACCTGGAAGAGCTGAATAACTGCCCAACTCTCCTTCAGGCTGTTGACACATCTCTGCCTAACCTACTTATGTGCAAAGTGGCTCTGAAGTAACATGCAACAGCTGATATTTTCACATAATCTAAGTGTTATTAAATCACAATCATAGTACATTTCAAATTCCAAAGAAGAGTCTCCACAGCTCTCTTTTGGTGCAAATTACCTGTTACATGATACCACATCAATGTGGTCCATGAAGGCTTTCAGGGCTAGATAGATAGAGCTGCTTCCACTTCATCCTCAGGCACTCCTGAAGACTCCCAGAAACAGAAGTGATAACTGCTAATAAAAGTAGCTTGGAAAAAAAAAAAAGCTAAATCCTGACCTCTGAGACAAATAAAGCAAATTTTATCTGCCTGTACTGACCAAATCCTGTACCTGTAAAACATAATTGGACAGGAACTGAACTATTATCATGAGGAAGTTTAAAGTGTTGTCTAAAAGGCCCCCTTTTTACAACAATGCTGAACAGTGACATAAAATCCCCTGCAGGGCTAAGTCTGCCCTCTAAGAGGAACAGAGGTCTCATCCTGGCCAATACAACACATTGTAATCAGCTTTCAGGTGCTTTCCAGTGTAACAGTAGTTAGAAAAGCAAGCACAAAACACACAAGAGAGCTCTACATATTGTCAAAGCATCTACATACCCTTCTTCTTTTATCCATTGTCTCATAATAAATATTGACAAATTCATCTGCAGCTCTACAAGCTTGATCCACATAGGTTTTGAAATCCTGGGAAGAAGAAATCATACAAAATTACTTAAGTAGGCAATTTTATACAACCTAGTCATCTACGCAACTTCTCCACCAAGTGACTTTGGTTGATCTTTTCCATCCTCACTGAAAGACAACATCAAATACAGTTGAAATGGATTTCAAATTCCTCTTCTACTTGCAGGAGGTACAAGCTTTTAGCCAGGTGACAGTTTTAGGATTTATTTTGAATGCTGATGTATTTATTGTAATTAAATTGTATTCAGTGAAAATACTTGTTGCTGTGGTGGCTGTTCTGAAATAAATTTAAGGAACAAGATTTATTCAATGTATTTCTGCAAATTAGCAAGAATTCCATCACGCTGTCACCATAGCCTCATTTTTTAAAACATCTTTATATATGCATATATGAAGGTGCGGTAATATGTATAATTTGATATATAGATATAAAAACGAGAGAGAGAGGACATGCACACATGCTGAATGTATTCCAGTATCAATCACTCCAGTGCTATATCCACAGGTGAAAACCAAACAATCCTCATTTTCCTCACCTCTGTATTTTCATTCATCCACAGGTAACAGCTGTTGCTGTCACATCACTGCACTGTGATCTCATTCAGTTATTTGTTCAGTTTCTTTAGCTGTTTGGCCCTTGATCTCTTACAGACCTGCACTGTGACATCCTAGAAAGCAGTGATTCTGAATTTCCTGTCCATACATCTCTAGAACTGCACTTGGTTTCTGTTACAACACTTTGTGTAAAATATTATAATTTATCATTATTCTATTTCAGCATTATATTCTGAATGTTTGCAATTCAATCAGTACTTCAAAATTTACGTACTTACATTTTCTCGGCTGTCTTTAATGAATATACACCAGAACTACCAAGAATTCATCCAGTATCACCACAAAAGCCAATTCTACTCAGAGAAACCTCCATACCGCAAAATATGTACTGGCCTATCAAATAATCCCTGCTTACTCCACAAAACCAAATACTCCCATGCTACTACATACTACTCTTTTGATCTACCTCTAGTAGGACACGAGCTTGCTCTTCACCTTCCTATCTTCTCCAGCAATTTCTGAACCCACAGTCCATTTCCAAACAAATACGACAAAGTACTCTTAAAGACACCGTATTCCAGCAAGTGCCCAGCACCAGGAGGCAGAGTATCAGAGCTCCCACTAAGGGCACAGTAACTATGACTCGGCCTGTTATGTTATTTAGAGCAGATGGCTGTTACCTCTCACTTGCACACACTTACACACACACTTGCTGACAAGCAGCCAAACATTACCATTTAGCTGCCAAACAGACCAAACGGGTGTGAGGGAGAGCATTAGAGAAACACCGGGAGACTGGAATGAGCTGTTAGAGTACCTGCAATAGAAGCCAAATGGAAAATAAGCTTTGTTAGTTCTGATACTCCAGACATCTTCTTTATAACAATAGCCTGGAATACACGTTAAACTTCTGAGAACAATTTAGGTTGGAAGAAACTTCTGGTGGTCATCTGGTCCAAATCCAGAGCCACCATCAAAGCTTGATCCAACTTCAGCATTAGACCTGACTGCTCAGGGTCCTAACTCCAGGCACGTTTTGAACATCTTGGAGGATGGGGATTTCACAGCTCCTTCGGGCTCCTGTTTCAGTGTCTAACCACCTCACTCAGGCATCCTTCTTCCTGGTGTTTAACAGGAAAGCCATACTTAAAAAAAAAAGGGCCCCTTGCAGACCCTTGCCGGCAATTCCAAGCAGGAGCCAACCCGCACGGCCTCTCCGGACGGTCTCTGTGAAGCACAGCGGTTCCTCACACCAACCTTAGGCCCCGCACAGGGCCGCGGGGGAGGAAGGGGCCGCAGGGAGCCCCGCTCTGCCCGGGACCCGCCCGCAGCCGAGGGGCGGGCGGAAGGAGCCCGCGCACACCCGCCCTGCGCCGAGGGGCTCCCACCCGCCACCGCGGCCGGGACGCGGCCCGGCGGCCTCCCCCCCACCCCGCACCCCCAGAACCCCGACCCCGACCGGAGCTCCCACCGACGGGGCCCCGCGCCCGCCGCGCCGGCAGACTCACCACGGCGGCGGCCATGGGGCGGCCAGGCCAGGCCAGGCGGGAGCACAACGGATGTGCGGCACCGGGCCGTCCGCCGCTTCCGGCCGCGCGTCCACACGCGAAATCCTTCCGCCGCGGCGGGGGAAGCAGGAGCGGGGAGCGGGAGGGAGCGGGAGGGAGCGGGAGGAGCGCGGGGCCGGGCGGTCGCTGCGGGGGCCGGGCGGGCACAGAGGGGCCTCGGATACAACGGGAGGCGAATGGCCGCGCTGTGGCAATGGTACTTAGCGCGGTCACCGCCTGCCTCGCTGCACGGGGCCTGGGCGGGCACACGGTGTGCGGGATCAAGCGCTGGTTGGGCAGGCGGTCCAGAGATGGTGCTGAGCGGAGTTCAGTCCAGTGGTGTTCCCCAGGGCTCAGTGTGGGGACCGTTTCTGTTTAACATCTTCGTTGATGATCTTGATACGGACACAGAGTGTCTCATCAGTACGTTCGCAGATGACACCAAGTGAAGCGGGAGTGTGGATCTCCATGAGGATGGGGAGGATCCACAGAGAGACTCGGATAAGTTGGATGGATGGGCCAACATTAATGGTATGAGCTTCAACAAGGCCAAGTGCCAGGTCCTGCACCTGGGCCAGAACAACACCCTGCATCGGTACAGGCTTTGGGGAGTGTGGCTGGAGCTGCCTGGCAGAAAAGGACTTGGGGGTTCTAGTTGACAAGCGACTGAATACGAGCCGGCAGTGTGTCCAGGTGGGCAAGAAAGCCAACGGCATCCTGGCTTTGATTAGAAATAATGGGGCCAGCAGCAGTGGGGGGGGGATTGTCCCCCTGTACTCAGCACTGGTGAGGCCACACCTGGAGGATTGTGTCCAGTTTTGGGCATCTCAATACAAGAGAGATATCGAGGTGCTGGCCACCCTCAGTAAAACTAAATTGCCACATCTAATCTATATCTCCCCTCTTTCAGTTTAAAACTGTTACCCTTCATCCTTTTGCCCTACAAAAAGTCCCTCCCCATCTTTCCTGTAGCCCCTTTAGGTACTGGAAGGGGCTATAAGGTCTCCCTGGAGTCTTCTCCTCTCCAGGCTGAAAAACCCCAACTCTCTTCAGCCTGTCGTCACAGCAGAAGTGCTACAGCATCTGACATCTTCGTGGCCCTCCTTTGGACTCACTCCAACATGTCCATGTCCTTCTTATGTTGGGGCCCCAGAGCTGGACACAGTATTCCAGGTGGGGTCTCACCAGAGCAGAGTAGAGGGGCCCTGTTGCGGGCACCACACGCACACCACGTCTGCATGGCCACGGGTGTAAAAATAGGTCAGTGCACGAGCGCTGTGCCCCTCCTTTCACATACACTGTAGATCTTCCTCTGCTTTTCCTACATGCAGCTTTTCTCCCCGTGGCTGCTGTCGCCCACAGGCTGCCACCCTGGGGAGGGAGCCAGGTGAGGGCATGAAGGAAACTTGTGCTGCTTTCCTGTGACGAGCTGAGTGGTAAGGCTGGCTGGTGAAATCTTCATCATGCAGTGAATAACAGGAAAAGGTGAGACTCAAGAAGTCTGCAATTAATTACTAGAGATGATGTGGAGCTGACTGGGAAGAAGTCACGTACTGAAGGTGATAAACACCCCCGGGATGGAAAGGTGTGTCTGTGACCGGGCTGCTGGGAGAGGACTGGGTTCGGGTCCAGGCATCTGAGGCTGTGCCCTTTGCTATATGGGACTGCATCCAGCAGGGTCAGCTGTGAACTAATTTGTCATCGTGGTGTCGGAGTTGTGTCACTGTGAAACAGCACATCCTGAATTAACAACTGCTCAACGAAGGCTGCTTAATACAAAAGTTCAAACATGCTCCCCTTTGAAATCTCAAGTGTCACTACATCACCATATTATGTATTTGCCTCAAATTAATAGAAGTACTTCATAAAACCTCTCTCATATAAAGAAGAGCAACCATCAGTTTACAAATAAAAGAGCAAGGCACTGAAATTATGATATCACTGAAATGTGATTTGTTGAAGGTAACAAAGGGAGACAATTACAGAACTGAAAACTGCAATTCTAATCTTTTACCTTCATCATATGAACATCTTCACTCCATTCCGAGATACATCAGTGTAAAATGTAAAAGGAATCACTACCATCTGATATGTCCACTACCTCTTTCATGTCTATTTTCATCATATTGATGACAATATGTCTACAAAGGTAATGTCATGTTCCTTTTCTATAAATTGAATTTGTAGGAAACGACCACTGTAAATCCTAGTGGACTGAATGAATTATACTTGTGTTATCCCAGGGACTGTGGACAATCTGGACACAATGATAGAAATAAGTATCTTTAGAAGCATTACCTCTTCACTTACTCGCATGGATTTGTGAAACCTGGAAGAGTAACAGGCTTAGCACAAACCTTGTTGACTGAGCACAATGAGACTTCCAGAACACTAACCTAAATCTGAGTTCCTGAAACTACATTTTCTTTACTTAGAAAGTACTATTGCAGAGGAAACAAAGGAGACCATCTGAAACATATCAAAGATTTTCTGCAAGACGACTCCTTCAGTTGCTTTTCCTTGAGCAAACCTTTAGCTTGGGTGTTTAAGTCTTAAGAGTAGTCTGAGCAGATAGAATTTCCACTTTGTGTTGAACAAATTACAGCCATGCTGTATATTGTCCAAATATTCCTTACATATGCATTTGGATTTAGTTCAAGTAACAACCAAGTGTAACTCCTAATTTCTCTTCCAAAGCCCAGATACTCCTAACAGTTTCTCAGCCTCTATCTCCAGCCCCTCAAGCCAACTCACCCACGCTCCCCAGCCCTTCGGATCCCAGAAGGAGTGAGATGGAAATGCCAGAATGACTCAGCAGCAATTGCTCTGCGCTCCCGTGCAGAGTCCAAGCAGTTTACATCAAGATGACTCATCAAAATACTTCACGTCTGAAGATGATTCTTAGAACATGCAGCTCCATTACACCCACTTACCATATGGAAGGGAAATTTTGAGTTAGTTTAGATCTTACAGACCCAATCAGAGGCAAAAAGTGGAGCTTTGTTGCAATGGCTGGCATCGGCTAGTACATCTGTGAGATGAACTTGATTCTTAGAACATGCAGCTCCATTACACCCACTTACCATATGGAAGGGAAATTTTGAGTTAGTTTAGATCTTACAGACCCAATCAGAGGCAAAAAGTGGAGCTTTGTTGCAATGGCTGGCATCAGCTAGTACATCTGTGAGATGAACTTAGATGGATGGGGTGGTTTTGATTCTATAATAAATAATGCTAAACTTTAAAATTACTAGTTGCTGGAAATCTTTCCAAATAGCTGATACTAAGAACAATGAATTAAAACTGCAGTAACAGTTAAATGGAAAATAGGATGACATATCTCCATACTGTAAATAGTATATCCATATCGTATGGAGATAGGAAGTAATTCTTAGAAGTGTCTGCTTTATAGCTTCAGTCAAACGTGCTCAAAATATCATAACTAATGATAAATAAAAATGTATTAAACTTTCAGAAATGCATTCAGCCACCTGGGTTAGGCCAGATTTTCTTTTGTTACCATCAGCTGATCAATTAAAACCAATTAGAATTGATAGCCAAGCACCAGATAATTTCAGAATCACTAACAAAATGCACAGATTTTTATTGTGAGTTCTTTTGATACTGGGCAAATAATGACCACAGAATTAAAGTAGAATTCAGTCTCCAACAAGATGAAAAGAGTTCACATTTTCCCCATATGAACCTCACATGAACATTACTTATGCTTGCATTAGCATCTATGCAAAAATGAAGCCAGACTGCATAATGCTAGGCCACTTTGCAAACTAACCTTGACCTGTGTCACGGAAGACAGTGATATTTCTGTAATGACTTCAGTAACAGACTAAAATGAGGTCTCTTGGTCCTGATCACCCTTGATAAAATGACTAATCTTTAGTTTGGCAAATGATCTTGTTGGACTTAGATTAATGCATTTGTAATTTTCAAGGGTTTAATGTTTACTTCCCTTTAAGGTTACATAATTAACACTGATAGATTTCAAATAGAATATCCTCTACTAAAAGAACCCAAAGAATTACTAAGCTTTTTAATTTATTGATTCAGAATATATGTTAACATTACTAAAATCGTAACATGCTTGAAACTCTCCAGGCTCAAAATCTCTCTGCGATGTTGTACACAGCACCGAAGGGCAAGCCCAGGAGGCAGCAGAAGGCAAGGGCCTTGCAAATTTCAGTAGCCACTCTGCTGAATAGGGACCAAAGAAATGATCTGTGAACTATGTCAGTGATTAAAATTAAACCGGTAGGTTCACCCTCTTACTATTAGGATTATCAGCCCTCAGTGATCACATGCTGCGTACAGCATCCTTGTTAACAATGTCCAATTAACAGTTCAAAGATTTAGCAGGTATAGTGACGTTTAGCCGAATTCCCTTGAGGTCAGTGATTCACACAACACTTCAGCTTTCAAGCTGGTGAAAAAGCCATAAAGGCTCTCATGCAGTCATATAGGTCATATACGCTATTCTCTAAGACCTTGAATCTTTTTGAATAGTGAATGGCTCTTGTGGAACACAGCACTCTCAACTTTTGTTAAAGTTACCAAAATGTGTAGTAACATTACCCGGATGTATAGAAGTTTAAGGAACTGACTCCTAAAACAAGGGAAGCAGCTGACAGCAGCCAAATCAAGGCTGCCGTCAGAACCAAACCGGTTCTGATTAACGTGGTGCCTGTGAGGGTGGATCATGACGCAGTGTTTGAGCATTCTGCGTGATCAAGGGCTGAATGAGAACTCCAAGACTTGACCCATTGATTTTAAAGGGGACTGGGTAGGTCTCAGTT